AAAAATAATTATAATAATAAATTAATTAATTAATTAAAAAGTATTAAAAACTCTTTGAAGATCATTCTAGTTGGAACATTTAATAATTTGAAATTAATTCACTCACTGTTTGTTGCACGGCACCCATCCCTGACCGCTGGGGTCTGGCCCACAGTTTCCTTCGTCTGTGCCCTCAGAGTTCAGCTTCTCATAGCAAAACCTGTCAGCAGAGTCTGAGATGAAAAAAAAAACTACTTTACTCATCAGGCAAAATTACCACTCATTCCGAGGAGTATTAGAGACAGATTAAGATTTTTATTTTTTTTTACGAAAAGTCATAATTTGAGAAAAAAGTTGTATGAGAATAAAGTCACAATATTACCAAGATAAAGTCGTAAAACTATAAGAATATAAATAAGTCAATTTAATGAGAAAAACAAAAGCTTTGACAGTAATCAAAATCTGACATGACCGGCTTGGCCAAACGGATTAAGTATTTCCTTATTTGTAAAACAGATACCAAAAAATAACTTCATAAGATGCTCAACATCCCTCATTTTAACACAGTGGTAAGACTGTTTTTTTATGTATGAGTTCTCATAATATTAAGACTATTCTGGGAGTATTATGAATTTATTCATTTCTCTCATGGCTATATTCGTAATTATCTATTTGTAATCTAGTTATCTGAAGAACAGGAAACAGTTTGTACAAATAAATGATGTAAGATTTGAACACTGCAATTTCAAATGTGGAGTTCCACAGGGTTCTGTACTTGGCCCAAAGTTATTTATATTATATGTGAATGACTTGGTTAATGTGTCAGGGCTTTTTAAATGTATATTATTTGCAGATGATACTACATTGTTTTTGTGTGGATAAAGATAGAGAGTGGATGATTTAAATGATGCAAACAGAATTTGTAAAAATACAAACTTGGTTTAAACTTAAATTATAACTAAATTTGGATAAAACTAATTATATGATATTCAGCAATTGAAAGAGAACAGTTGATGTTCCATTTAGATTTGATGGTGTTGAGATTTGTAGAGTCAGTGAGGTGAAGTTTTTGGGTGTTATTGATGAAAAACTAACATAGGGGAGACACGTGTTCAGACAACCACCAGGGAGCAGTGCAGCACCAAATATAAAGCTCAATCCAAACTTACTGTGACCCCACAGAGTCCTGCACTGTCCGTCTCTGGTCTTGCAGCGACCTCCATAGCAACGACCCTGAGGAGGAAACAGAAAACAATGAGGGGAGAGGTCTGAGAAGGATTGTTGTCTTAAGAAGAAACATTTCCTTTCACCTGGCCTGCATCACACGTGTAACCATCCAGTTTGTGGACATTGTGAGGACACTACAAGAGAGAAAACCACTGGAGTCAGCTGCAGATTGATAGATTTATTTATTAATAAGCTCAAAGAAAACAGCTCTTCCATCACCTGGCTGGAGTCTCCTGTGCAGGTCTCGCGGATGTCGCAGTCGTTCACAGCGTCGCGGCACGTCTCCCCTCTGCGCTCATACTGAGGAAAAATGAGATTAAGAAAGCAGGAGGAGAGGAGAAAAACTAACTCTTAAAACTATTTTTCAGACACGCTTTTATTTTGAAACTGAGCAACTGTCTCTAAACAAAACAATGATGCTAATAAATCTGTTTTACAAGTTTACAGCTGCAGCTCAACTGAATCGTGGAACAGAGGGTGAAAGGGTGGAAATGAGTAGATGATGAGCTGACGGAGCTCACCTTGCAGTCCCTGCAGCAGAGCCCGTTGCTGCACATGGCATTGTGGGTGAGAGTACACTTTTTACAGCAGCTGGCTCCACTTTGAGTACAATCCTTTAAAGACCAGAGAGGTTTGAAGAGAACAGCGCTGAAGACAAACAGCAGAGTTACAGCCAATCTAAAGGCCCCGTCACACTACGACATTTTAGACAATTTATGCCAACTTAAGAAACGTTTAAAGACATCTACGTTGAAGATGGAATTAAAAAAATCAACTGGAAGGTTCAAGGTGTGTTCATAATGTAATTCTAACAAACTGATTAAATATACAAATTATTAGCAATTTAGACAAAAAAAATGTTTCAAAAGTTGGCATAAGTTTTCTAGTGTGACAGGGCCTTTAGTTGACATTTTGCTTTTACTGTTATATTATTTCACCGCTTTTATGTTTTTACTTGATTGTAAAATAATAATAATAATCAAACTCCTACTTTACCGTGAGTGAATTTTTAAATTAAACTGTTTTAAACGTTACTATGATTTTTGTGCTACTTTTTTGTGTAACAAACACTGAGGTTGCAGATTTATTCAGCACTTTGTGTCTCATGTTGATCTGTTTAGGACCAGCCAGGATAATTTGATGAAATTAGTCATGCTCACCACCAGCGATCCACAGTCACATTCCTCTCCGTGCTCCACATATCCATTACCACACTCTGAAGGGTCTAACAGCTACAGAGGAAAAATAATTATGATGAATAGTTCATCTATTTAAACAAATGTTCTGAGTCAAATCTTTGAGCTTAAAACTGAGTAACAAATTAGATATTCCTAGAAGCAGACAGTGCCAATCCATGCAACATTTCCTTCAACTTTAGATCCACATACAGTACTGTAAGTTAAACCAACTTTTATTTCTTTCTATTTTTTGTTTTAAGCAGCCAAACCTTCTTGTAATATTTAAAAAGCAGTCTCGATCATTCGTTCTCTTTGCTTTCTGAGGGTATTTAAATGTTTTTCTTTACACACTCTTTGAAGCATTTTTATGCCTGAATGACTCAGAAGTCAGATTTTAGTAACCTAAAAATCTTTCTTTTGAAAATAAATCAGACACTGAAGCGAAAAGGAAACAAAATTCAAAAGACCCTCAGAAAGAATGAAAAACTATTGATCAAAACTACTTTAAAACATTACAAGGAAAAAAATATTCAGAAGCAAAGTATAAAGAAATGAGGAATGATTTGAGACTTCTGTAAAATACTGGGTGTGCTTTGACTGAAGTCTGAACCGTCTCACCTTTGTGGGTTTGTTGAAGAGGCAGCTGCCTCCTCCCTGCTGAAGGAATCGAAGGTATTCATCTATGCTGCAGCGGGAGAACTTCCTGGGCAGGTAGTAACTAAACAATACCAGAATCAATATGATTACATTTGTTGATAAAATTCTAATTGGAAAGAAAACATTTATTCAGGGTGTAAAGGTGCATGTATTCATATTGTGATGGTTTGGTGCAAGAGGTTTGTACACGTACGGTGAACTGATGATGTGTACATCAATCACACAGGCATACATTTATTTTTATATTTAGCAGAAAACACAGACAAAAAAGAAGCAGAAAAAAAAGAATGGATTAGTTTACTGCAAATGTGTTTATACCCTGTATCCTCCATGATGCAACCTAGCCATGAATCTGGACACCTGCAGCTTCCTGGGAGAGACAAAACATTTGTCATCAGATTTTATGGAAAAAGAAAAATCAGTTTTCTCTTTAAGTTCAACTTCAAAGAGCAGAAAAGCTGATATGTTCTTTCAATAAATATGCAAAGCTAAAAGGTGCTTTTAAAATGACTGATAAGATCAAATTAGTAAAAGTCATTTAATGCAATGTTTTCCTAATTTTGGTTTCATTTGTTTTTGGTGAAAACTTCAGCTGAAGTGATGTGTTACCTGCAGATGTTCGCTCCTTGTTCCGAAGCATCCCAATGTTTTGTCCAAGACTCTGACACAGAGTGATGGCCATAGGACCCACACTCCCAAACTGAGTAATCACGTGCATAAAGAAAACAAAAATTAAAAAGCTAAAAGGGAAAGTTATAATTACAAACAAAAGCACATCTCTTAACGTTTTGCAGCATCACCTCATTGATGCCTCCGCCCCGGGTCAGTGAGCAGATGCCTCCAACGTAAGCCGCCTCGCTGCGAGTGCTCCTGAACGTCCTGCCTCTGAAGTAAAAACAGAAAGGCGGGTTAGGAAAACAAAAAGCAAGTGAAGAATTAAGACAATGGGGAAAACCTACGAGAAGAGGTGCACGGCATCGCAGCGCTCCTTGATGTTTTCCTTCCTGTACTTCATGAAGTCTCGCAGAGTGAGCAAGGCATCGTCAACGACGGCAATCTTGTTTTCAGACGACCAGGTTTCCATCGCTACCAGGACGATGCGAGTGTTGAGCTGCTCCTTGTAGATCTGGACACATTAAAAAGGGGGCTAATTAAGCAAAAACCAAAATCTACATATCAAAAAGAAAAAAATAAGTCCTCTGGATGGGTTCCTCTTTAGTGAAACGTTTCAACGTTTCATCTCTCCTCCAAGAGACTTCTTCAGTCTGAGTTTCAGGTGAACTCAGCCTTATAAGCACTGCCTCCACATGGACAAACAGGTAAGTCACATGCAAAAGAGGGCTATTAGCCAAACGATACATGGTTAGTGCCTTGATTAGCTAGCTCTATTGTTCTTAGAGGGTCATGTGCCCCATTACCTGACTATCATCGGGGCCCTGATTCACACCTTTTGCTCACAGGGGTCGGAGTCATACTTGCAATAACAGCATTGTAGGAGGGGGACAAATGGACACGAAGGCCTCCACCTATGTTTAATGGTGGACGGTTTTTCTTCACAAAAATGGCTTCCTTTACTCCTCTTTCAAACCAATGTTCCTCTATCAAGGATGAGAACATCTTCATCCCTGAAAGAGTGACCGCTRGCCTGTAGATGAGTGTAAACTGCAGAGTCCTGGCCTGTAGATGAGTGTAAACTGCAGAGTCCTGGCCTGTAGATGAGTGTAAACTGCAGAGTCCTGACCTGATGATGTAGCTCGTCTGTGCTGGCTCATTCTTTTGAACAGTGGCTGTTTTGTTTCCCCAATGTACGACTGATCACAGTCCTCCTGACACTTAGCATGTACTATATTACTCTGTTTTTGCTGGGACCATAGGACATACTTTTTTCTTTTTGACTTTTCTACCTGAATTACTGAGATGTATCCGGACATAAAATCTACATACAGAAGCCAACCACTGCAGGCAGGCAGACAGCATCTCAAAAGTTTGTCTGTCCTCGGTATCGAAAGCAAGAAAGCAAGAAAGAAAGCAAGAAAGCAAGCAAGCAAGCAAGCGAGAAAGAGAGAAAGAAAGCAAGAAAGAAAGCAAGAAAGCAAGAAGGAAGCTCAAAAGTTTGTCTGCCCTCGGTATCGGCAGTCTCAAAGACCTCTCAGCTTCTTCAGCAGAAATAAAAAATGAAAATGCAGTGTTATCTGGTTATTGAAGATCATCCAATCATGTTGGTGTCACCAATTTATAAGAAAGACATAATTAGAATAGGAAGTCAGAATAAGTTTGCAGAAAACAAGTTGATTATCTTCTAAAAATCTTTATTGAAAACTCAGTTTCAAATCCAGCTCAGAACCGGTCAGCCAGGCAGGGCCTGTGAGTTTGAGGCCTTGGGTCTTATAAGAAAAGCAAAACAAACCCTCTCAGCAGCAGCTGCTGTTCAGGCTGCTCTTAAAAGAATAATGAGTGATCACCCCCGTAAAGTCATATATACGTGTGTACATAAAACCTAACTTCCTGGTCACACCCCTGGGGGCAGTACCTTTAGGTCAGACACTGGAATCTAAAACAAGCTTTGTCTTCCTGTGGAAGAGGGCCAAAACATGACAAAATACATGACAGGATCTTAAGTTCAGTTGATGACAGTCACAAAAACCAAAAGCAACGACTGGAATATCCTGAATTAGCTTAAAATGTTGACATTTGAACGATTAAAATGGTACAAAGTACGTTTGCTGCATCAGCATTCTCTCAAAACTATTTAAAATGTGTTTGATCATCGCAGGCAGTTCAGATGGTTTTATCCGTCAGCTTTCATTATGAAGCAGGGGACAGCAGCCTGTTTCTATAGCAACAGATACACTGTTTGTCCCCTGTCAGTTAAGGGTTTTTCCATGGTTACGCTGCAGCAGAGGACTCGAGCACATCCACTTCATTCCTCTGATTTAGAGAATAGTCACATCTAATCAGCTACAATAAACACAAGACAAGAATTAAGATGTGCAAATCTCTAACAGTGCTTTCAGGTTTATGATGGGAAACTATTCAACCAAACATCATTCCTCCTTTTTTGCATTTTCTTTCAGTTATACTTRTGTTTCATTTCCCCTTAAATCTAAACATTCAAGAACAAAAAAAGCTTTAAATCCCATTGGTTTGGTCATAATTTTYGCAACAGTCCGTAACTTTAAACAAATAGAAATGGAGGTTAACGTTTTTGATGCAGTACATTTCTTTCACTTACAAACATGTCACGAAAAGATGAAAAGCAATAAAATCAAAACAGGCAGCAAATTGTTTGAAGTAATAAAAACAACTTTCCCAMGCAGCAGTAAAAGGAACATAGAAAYCATCCAAAAAAATAAATCAAATAATTAAAAATCAGATGGTAAAGTTCAGCCCTTAAAACTGTACTGAAGATTAAGCTTTAAATAAAATCAAATTCTTACCAAATCTGCCATGTTCACCACTGATTTGGCAAAAATCTTCGTCTGCGAGGTTGATCGACGAAGCTGCCCGAACTATCAAACAAGACAGTTTTTAATCTTCAACCCAACGTCACACAAACAATRTATTTTACTGTATTAAGTTACCAGTTCATAATCGTTGACAATCATCAGCTCGATGTATTTAGTCTCAGTCTGAACAGTGCGTTGGCCTCGCCTCACCTGAAAAATAAAAAAATAAAAATTTGGGTTTTAAATTTCTTGTCATATTAACCTTCAGTGAGAGCAGACATGCAGAAACAAAACACAGCAGGTGAAACCATTACACTGCATGATCACGCACACACACCTGCTGATGATAGTGAAACTCTAGTCTTTGTCCTTCAGAGGGCAACAACTTAAAGAGCAACAATCCCTCATTCACAAAGCAGAATATTACTTTGCATCTGAAGAGATTAAATAACATCTTCTGTATCAGACTACTTATGGAGCCTAAAAAAATTATAAAACCCATTAAATATGCATTATTACGACTGAGTATTGGGTCCCACACAACAAGATATTTTTTTATTATTATTTCAAGATTAAAGCTGTAATTTTACGAGAATAAAGTCATAATATTATGACATTAAAGTCATAATATTACGAGATTAAATTCATAATATTACAAGGGGAAAAAAGTCATAATCATGACGTGTCTATTTCCCGTTCTTCATTTCCTCCTTATTTTCCTCACACCTGCTGTATACAGCCATGTCTGTGTTTATAAAGTATGATGACTTGGGTCACTGTTAGATTAATATACAGTATGCTTTCATCTAAATTAGCTACGTGACGACTAAATCCGTCAATTACATTACAGCTTCAGTTTACAGTCATTTGCACAATTTCCAAGTCCTGCTACTGATAATTTGATGCTAATGTGCTAAAAGATTAACTTTTAATTTATAACAATACTAAAGAACAACTTGACAAGTTGCTCAACAATCTTCATTTTAATGCAGTGGTAACTGCATACTTTTTTGTGTAAAGACAATATTATGACTTTTTCTCGTAATAATACGACTTTAATCTCGTAATATTACGACTTTAATCTCGTAATATTACGACTTTAATCTCGTAATATTACGACTTTAATCTCGTAATATTACGACTTTATTTTTATACGACTTTTATGTCGTAATATTATGACTTTATTCTTGTAATTTAAAAAAATACATCTCGTCGTGTGGCCCTAACACTCCGTCGTACATTATGTAAGTAAGCAAAAATTAAAATTTACCCATCATGTCTGAAACGCAAAGTTAAAAGAAAATTGTAGTGTTGTAGTCAAAACCATCTAACCTGAGACCAAGTCAAGACCAAGACCACAGTATCTCAAGACAATGACAAGACCAAGACTTTTAGGGTCTGGACCAAGATCAAGACAAAGACCAAAGGAGGGCAAGACTGAGACAAGACCAGACAAAAATACTAGTGTCCTAAAAGATGGAATATTCTGTACTTAATATGTAGACCTAATATTGACAAAATCTTTATGTGAGGGCAGAGAAAATAATTTTGCTACAGAGGAAGATTGTTAATGTTAGTGGCTGGGGKGGTGCACTTGGTCATTGGCGGTGTGGTGGGGTGGTCATGGGTGTGGCTTCTTTGCGGCGGGGGCCTGGCCGGGCGTCCTGGTGCGGCCCGGGCCGGGCCTTGGCTATCTGCTCCTCTTCACCTCAGAATGATTGGGTCTACCTCCTGGTTCGGGTGTGTGCGGCCTCCAATAGGGGGTGGGTGCATGTCCTGGACCTGGGGGGTATAGAGTGTGTATTGGGGGTATGAGTGGAATGTGGCATCCTTGTATGTCTTTGATTGAGTGGGGGTGAGGATGAGGGTGGGATGGTGTGATTGTRTATGTTTGGATATTTGTCAGGCTGKGGTCTGGGCTGCCCCTCCTGCTGGTTTATCTGGGGGCCCGCTGCTACTCGGCCCCCCGGTGGGGTGTGCGGTTGGCCGCCGGCATGCTGGGGGTTCCCGGGGTCTGGGGCTGGGCGCTGGGCTGTGTGCCGGCCTGGCCCTGCTGGGACTCGGGGCCTCTGGACCTGTTGGGCTTTGGCCTGGAG